CATCCTGATGGGTTACAACTTGCCTACGCAGCTCGTATCTGAGTCCAAGGGCAAATTTACGACATCGATCTCTCTCCGTAGGTACCATACTGAATCCATACTTCAGCAATTTCAGGAACTCGATCTCATATTCAGAAACAGTCATGTCTCCCTGAACCAGGTCTTGAAACTGTTGTCGTCTCTGAGCTAAGTAGCGCTCTCCCAGAAAACGGCTCCGAAAGCGATCCTTAAAGAAATTCCAGGTCAAACGATCGGTAGGAACACTACTGGTCACTGACTCCCACCAAGTGTAGGCATTGCCATCTAACATCGCCACAGCACCCTGATATCTCTTAATTGAGTCCAAACCCAACTGATCCATGCGTCTCTCTGTATCCTGGAGCCAATCCTCAGCTTCAGTAGGAGCTCCACCTATCTGTCCCCCAAAAGTTCTAACTCCATTGGCAATCAAAGTCTGTGAAATAGGAACCTCAGATACAACACCAGTAGCTCTGACTGCTCCCTGTATTAACTGCAGAAATTGTCTACCAAAATTCTCATCCAAAGCAACTCCGGTAGACTCTAACTCAATATCGGTCGCTCCTATTATCGGTGTAGTAATGCCAATACCAGCGGCAGGAGGCAGATCCGTTGGGGTCGTAGGAGCATGATCACCTATCGGAGGTGGGGGATCTACCCGTATCTCATCGATCGGATCTGCGAATCTAGCCACTCGACCTCATCCACGGCTAGTTCGACGACTACGTCTAGCACTCATTTTGATGGATCTCAAGTTTACTACAGAAGATAAAACTTAGGGTTAGATAAGCACTTGGAGTCTCAAACATAGTTAAAATCTTAATAACTTTGTGACATGGCCTTAGTAACTCGTTTTGTAAAATATTTCAAAACCGTATTTTCAATGTGGACTCATACACAGTCCGAGGGTTAAAAACCAAAAGCTCTGATACCAATAAATGTAACCCCCTAGACCCGGCCTATGCGTTTCGACTAAGTCTAGTGGATCACATTATAATTATTAAAGACATTTTTCGCAACCGTTATTCCATCAATATAAAATCACATTATAAAAACATGAAATTATAAACAATTTATACTATCAAAATCCAACTTGTAAATATAGTACAAATAAATAATAATTTAATTTAAAACATGTCTTCAAATTCAAAATCACAATGAACCGAGCAGTAGTAGCAAAAGTGTTATCATTATAAAATCCGATATTTTAAAATAAGGTCCATGTCACCAAAATAAAGTAAACTTGCCAGATAAAAACATTACAATCTGATTTACTTCAAGAGATATGTTGATCCTCCAAGTGCTCGAACCAAGGTATCTACCCAACAGTATCTGAAAGGGGAAAACATTTTCAAAAGGTGAGCTAGGCTCAGTGTGTCCCAACATTTCCATAAAATCACAATAGGTACAAATCATATTCCAGTAATCTCACAAATTCGTAAAAGAGTTTAACTTTTTGAAAATCATAGTTTAAACCCTTTTCTGGTACACCATCAGTAGTTCCCAAAATTATTTCCATATAGCTTAATTTATGCACATAGCAAAAAGAAAGCCGACTTAAGGATAGGCTCTGAAGCTTGTATCCTTAAGCCCAAGTCAATAAGTCCATATAGCTTACCCTAAGCACACAGCAAAGGAAAGCCGACCTAATGAAACATCTTGGGGCCCTCAAGAGTCACATTAGGCCCAGTTAGCTTGATCAGAGCTATTCCATCGTATTTCAATTCCAAAATTCAATTGCACCGTGACATAAACTCCATAAATCCAAAAACATGGTAATCATATACCATTTCAAAACAAAAATTAGATAGCAGCCATATTCCATAAATTGTCACATTAAATTGGTGCATCCATAAAACAATAGCCAATGAATTCGGTGTACCACGTATTAAAACCAATAAAACAGTTCAATAACAAGTAGGGAACACACCTCGACAATAGATTCAAATAACAAATCTACTGATTGCTGGTTTCACCACGCTCTGCTACAGTTTTCGAACGGGTAAATACTGGCACACGTGGTTTAACTGATCTAGAAGAGCTGGGTCGAGCTGTCGAACGATCCGGAGAGTCTCTTGTACCTTCAAACAATAATATTTATCAGTCTCAAATCCTATTTAATTGTTCAAAGCTAAACTTCTTAAGTATATACGCATTTTTAGGGTTTGACTATCAATTTGAGGTATTTCGAGTCTGAATTTGGCCAAACGGATTACGGAATCGGAATCAGGGCGTCGAAAAACATAAAGTATGACTTTTCGAAAATTCAAATTCTTGGTCAAAGTCAAAGTCAACCACTTTGACCGTAGATTTGGAGACCTTCGGATTCGAATTTGACAAAACGGACCACGGAAACGGATTCGGCACGTCGAAAACTATCAGGATAGGTATACTCGGAAAAGATTAACGGTCGTTTAATGCTCGGTCAAAGCCATTTTAAGTTTTGGTCAAAGAAAGTCAATGGTCAACGGTCAACGGTCGGGTCGGGTCAACGGTCGGGTCGGGTCAGACCGGTCAAACCGATTCAGACCGGTCAAATCGGTTCGAACCGGTTGAAACCGGTCAAACCGGTCAGAACCGGTTGAAAACCGGTTAAACCGGTTTCCAGCAGCCACTCGCCCTGCGGCGGCGCGTGTGGCGCGTGAGGCGTCCTCCGGGGCCCTAAAAATCCCGGAAAAATTTCTAAAAATTATTTTGAGCGATTTCAAGATACTTACAACGATCGGTTCAAATTTTTGAACGGCGGAGAGCTCGATTTCAAATCGGCCGAATCTTTGACTGCACCACCTCCTCACGCGCCGCCGTCTACGGCGGACAAGGTTGACACCGGTGAACTCGGAACGGCACAAGGAACACGATGGTGTGGGAGGTGTCGTAAACGGAGCAACGATCAGCGGTGAATTTAAGATTTCCTCGGCGATAGAGCTAACAAAACCGTCGCTACTTTGACTGGAAATTCCCGACGTTTGGCCGCGTTTCGCTTCAATTAATTTGAAGGGTTTTTTCCTCGCTCGATGATGAACACAACGGTGGTTTCAAAACAACGATCGGAATTCGGACGGCGTCGGAATCGGCTTTGAAGTAGAGTGCGGGAGGAGGAATTTCATAATTGTTTTCTGTTTTGAAAACAGAAAACCATTCATACGCTTAAATGAAATTTTCTGCCGACACTAAAAGGAATAATGCAGGGCTTGGTCCCTGAATTTCCTTTAACTTCTAAAATGGCCTACAATTTTGAAAACTTTCGATTTAATCCTCAAATTTTGCCAAATTACTTAATTAAATTTTTTTTTTTCTCTAAATTTTATTCCGGGTTGTTACAGTCCTTATCCATATTATACGTGGATCAAAAGATGATCATTTTCCAATAATCATCTAACTTGGCATTAACTCAATCACGTTTACGTGTTTCTGGTGACAGAAAATTTGAAGGTTGCTCAAAGGAAAGTTCGGCCACAAGCTGTTCAGACCACCCTCCATAAGCTTCATATTTCTTTTGAATTTACATTTCATATCCACCGCTGATTTGCTGCACCTATATAATACTACAAATGTTCACATGCAAAATCTATCAAGTAATTTTAGTGATAAGAAAAACATTGTTTTTTTAAAAAAATTTAAGTTTAAATAACTATGTCTGCCGGATATATGTACATTGACAATGATCCAAAAAGATTCTAAATAAATACTACATTATAATTATTCCAGACTATTAAAAAAATATTCACATGCATTCTTTGATGCGTTAATGTTGATTGATATAAGAAACAAATATCAAATTACAGATGAATTTTAATTAAATATATAATATTATATAAAAAAATAATTTTATTTAATTATATATACAAAGTTCATTCAATTATATGTAGATATATAATTATTTTTTATAATAACCAATATCCAATCTATTGATCAACTAATTCAGATCGGGCACTGCAGAGTCAATAACGACTCTTCCAATCAAGTTTGCTCTATTCGAAAACGCCAGAATTCGAACTTCTGAACTTACTTAAGGAATCTAGTGGCCCATCCCACTAGACCAACTAATTGCTGGTGATATATAAATATATGTATATAAAATATTTAAACATAAATAATAATATATAATAACAATTTTAATGATTTATAAATTTTAATGAAAATTTAATCTTCATATATACAATTGTAAAGAAAATAAAATCCATATATAATATTATTTATTTAATAAGATTTATGTATAATTTTAATATTCATTATATAAAACTATCACAAATTTTATTAAAAAAGATATCGAAAATACGGGATAGACTTAAAGGGAATGGATAGGAATAATATTCTTCCTAAAAAATTGAAACTATCATATATTTTAAATATTTTCTTTATATTTTTTATTAATAATTTATTCTATTCCTAAAATTTTAAAAATGTATTCCTCTAACTCCAACAATTTTATAAGTATGTTCCTTAATATAAAATCTTATGGCAATCCACGTTGATACAATACTTAACTCTAAGCCTTAGATTAGGAAATTACCATGGCATTTCACACAAGACCATATTTTGTCACGGAAGCCACCGACTCCTAAATTTATTCATACATCCTACAAATAGAATAGTTATATGTGAACAGCTGCAAAGCCAATTAAAGCTATGCACAAAGTTTCCTCATTCAGCAACGTTAGCCTCATGTTCTATTTGAATTAAAGAAATGGCGTGTTATTAACAAATCCTTATCATTTATTTCAAAAATGAGTTACACTGTATCACGAGTCTAAGTCAAAAGGGCAACAATTAAAAACAATGAAAATAGCAGGAACAACAGCTTCCACGAAACACAGTTTTTTTTCCTCAGCTCCGCAACAATCAGCCGACCTTAATAAAGATTCGTGTTCCTTTGCTGTCATACATAAGGAAAACGTAATCCATCCTCTTTCCAAGAAAAAAACCCTCCTTACTTACCTGCTCTATCGTCCCCCTTGTATATAATAACCCCAATGCATGTAAAAAAAACATACAAACTTGGTTTCTTTGATCATCTATAGTACTCATTAGCAAGGATCAATGGCAGGGACTAGTAAAACAACTCCATATTTCGAGGACTTATTGCCGGCGATGGCGGATAAGCTAGGAGGAGACGGGCTGATGAGGGAGTTGTGCAATGGGTTCGAGCTGTTGATGGACAAGGACAAAGGGGTGATCACCTCGACGAGCTTGAAGAGCAACGCCGCAATGCTGGGCTTGCAAGATTTGAGAGACGATGAGCTTGCCAGCATGGTGAGGGAAGGTGATCTGGATGGCGATGGGGCTCTCAATGAAATGGAATTTTGTGTGTTGATGTTCAGATTGAGCCCTGGATTGATGGAAGAGTCCTACTTATTGCTCCAAGAAATACTTGAAGATGACCTCAAAACTGCTGGGTTCTAACATTATTTTATACATAGATTACAATAGGTTAATACAATACATCAATATTTTGTAAAGGAGTATATTGATCTTCTCTTTTCTTGTCAAATAATACTTTGCTTTTGCAATCAAAATAATATCACAATACATTTTTTCCACCTCTATATTTTCGTACACCGTACAAGCAAGGATGGACCGACAGGAGATGGGTTAGGATAGTCGTCCCTTATTTCTTTTGATGATCTGTTTGTCCCTACCATAAAATCATGCATTCGTCCTTGAACGCAAGTGAGTCGATATTTCTCAATTGAAATGGCTTTTGAATGTTAAAACACATAAATATACTCTGTTTCAACTCTGTTTCTTCCTCCTGTATAGAGTTATTATCTTCTACATGGCATAGGTCAATCTAATACTATTAGTTTCCTAGATGGTGGCGTATGCTAGGCACAAATTGCTCGATGAAAAAAATGCGAGAAATGTACATTTCAAGCTACTATTTATTATACTCTTGAATCGTCCATCTGTCTGAGTTCGACTAAGTCATCAAATCAAACTGGAATTATTAAATGAATCAAATTTCGATATCTTAATATTTGTTTATAATAATTTCTAAATTTAATAAAAAAATAATACATATTCATATTTTTAATAAAAATTGAAATTTCATTTCAAATTCAGTTCAGCTTTTTCTCTCATTAGGTGGATGAGCTCAATCAAGTCTAATCTAATGAGTGCAATCAATTTAGTTTTATTTCAATTAAGCTATAAAAGTGAATTTCGATCATGTTTAAGGTTGAGCCTCTAGTATAACTTTTCTTATTAGAAGAAGAGAGAGACTAAATCAATCTTAAGAATTAATATCAATCAGAAATATAATAAGATTTTTAATACATCATATATGTTTTTTGAAATAGGATATTTTGTATTAAAAATATAACAAAGTACACAATTCCAATGACCTCATTAAAAAACCTCCCTAAACCTATGTGGAGGAAAAAGAGTATACCTTAAAATAGAGAATAGCAAAAGACAATAGTCACAATTACATCAGAAACAATTCGAACCTTAAATGCTAGAACAGCACATAACTTACTAACATAATAGCTATGGACTGCCCCTGAAGAGATTACATAAAGAGCAACCAAGAAGCAAACTGAAGAACACACCGAAACTCAACCTTAGCAAAAATTAACCAAGGAGCATAATCCTTTCAAAGTGTACTGGAAACAACATCGCAAGGGCAGAACACTCACCAATAATCATGCTAAAAAAATTAGGGAATCCGGGCAGCGCACGAAATCAGGAACATGTGGACCAACGATGGCCATAATAAATTCACCCAAACCCGAATCTGCAATAAAACCATATTGTAAATTCGTTCCACTGTGAAAGATGAAACGCCGAATCTGATCTTGTTTCTGCACAACCAAATCAAGCCAGAAAAACCAATTTGCCAAAACTTCCTTGATTTTCTTCAAACAATCTGTGAAGACCATATCTCTTAAAGATACTATCAATTAAAATTATATATATAAATATAATAAGAGTTTCTAGAACAGATATTATCAATTGTAATCACCTTAAATTAATCAATATATATATATATTTATTTATTTATTTATTTATAGTTATTTATTACAACAATACCTTATTATAGAATAATAGAATACTAGTATAAAGACGTTCCAACTTTGTCGACTAGTGTTCAGAAGATTTATAAAGGAGCAAAGGCATCTCCATGCTCTCGGTTGATTTAGATGGGTAAACTTAGTATGCGGCAACACATAACAAGTATAGTGGAGGCAACTTTATGCTTTAAAATTCTACAGGTATGACTGGAATACCTTTTCCTTGGTAGAAGAAAAGAGTTGGAATATATCTCGTTAAGGCAAATTATATCTCGATGTTCGTTGAGGTATAGTGGAATCACTCCTATTGCTAGAGTGGAGGCTCTCCATCCCCTTGGGTAGTTTTCATAAGCCACAAGCTTTTGTTGGAGACATCTTGACTCCCGAGAAAGGCAACTCAATAGTATTGAAGGGTAGAGGATTCTGAACTCCCGATAGAGGCAACTCAACGATGCCTAAGGGTGTAGGCATCTTTATTTTCCCTGGATAATAGAGAAATCTGAGCTCGTATGGTCGATTAATGCGGAGGTAACTCATTTGACCAAAGAGAAGACATCTTCACTATGGCAACACAATGAAGGCATCTCAACACCATGACATCATGACTCAGGATATAAGGCACTCAATCCTATTACTAGCAAAGTCTGTGGGGTTGTAGTATTCAAATTGGTGGAAGAAGAACTTCGGTCTTTTGTATGTACTAAAAGTATTTGAGTGCTACACAATACACTAGAATGAAGTTTTTTCCTAGCTTTGTTTGAGAAGTAACTAAGATTTAGTCTAAGCATTATCTAAATCTATAGGCAAAGACGTAGATTTAACTAGTAGGCTTGTCTAAACTAGTTCCAAGTCGGTAACACTATTAGGGAGACTACTCTCGTTTCTACTGACCATACGAAGCTTATTAATGTTACATTTGTGGATTACCTAGTTTGTTTATCAAAGGAGTGATTGAGAAGCTTTTCCTTCCGTCTTATGATCGGCATCGTTTTTCAGTATGCGATTCTCTTACTTTTTGAAGCTATCTCTAGGGCTATTGAGGAGGCAACTTCTACAATGATTAGTCATAGAGTTGCTTGTGCAGTTTAATGAGGCTCTTTATGGGAGGGACAGTTAAGGAAGAGGCATTTTGGATCGCTTTTTCTACAATCATCAAGTGGGACTCCTTGTATGCCTTAGGAGTTCTACCATCCACTTTTCTGACCCTTTATCAACGTGGTTTTTGGCGCTGTTGTGATAAGTGTTCACGATAACACCATATGTCGCTTCTTAATCGGCAAGCTCAGTGGGTTTTGGGGTCGATGGTATTACGTCAGTTTTTCAGTACTTGTGATAAAGGTGGTCTGACTACGCAGAGTGTGTAACACTTCATGTCACATTCTCTGCGAAATCTTCATCCCGCTTATGCAAGATTTGCAAATCGAATCTATATACGTCAACCAGAAATAATCAAATAGGTAAAGAAAGATTTTAGGATAAGATTGATGGTGATATTGGCTATTTGGCCTCTAAGGGATCATTTTGACTGATTATTTTTTATAGGAGTTGTTTTACGCTCTCCACTCCATTTATTAATAGGACCAAATGGGTTATAAGGACTGCAGGCGGTTCATCCTTTCTGATTTTGATAAAGAGTAGCAACTAGCGAGGAATTGGTCGATGTTGATATTCTCTGTCTCCATGAGAAGGTAGAGAAATAAGATAAAGTGAGGGTTTTCATTCAAGTAGCATCCTATCTCTCATACTTGGTGGAAAGGTTTTATAATGGCCCTTAATTTGTGCGTCAGACATAGGATCTTAACGGTTACCCGCAGGCAAAGTGGATACGTTTAGGTAATAGTAGATTTGGCTCTAGTAGATATGTCAGATGTCATGTTAACTAGTTGTGGCTTCATGAGAGATGTTATATATTTGAGATTCTATAATGTGACTTTCCGAATGATGTTATATATTTGAGGTTCTTTTTAAAGACGTTCTCTCTGTTATTCAAATTTCTCTTAATAGACTTCCCCAGTAATGTTATATATAAATTGAAATTTGATTTGAAATTTCTTTTATCTTCTCCTTATGGGGGCTTATCAACTTATAGGTAAATGGACCAACAACTCCGTGAATTGTTAATGACCCTTCAAGAAAGACATCTGGTTGTGAAACCATAACACAATCATATCATATATGTACATTCGAGCTTGGGCTTAAGCAATTTAGGACCTAAATAATCCCAAAGATTTAATTCGTATGACTTCCGCTTGCGCTTGTGAATTTTATTCACACCATTCCTAACAATATAGCTCATCTAAAGTTTTCCTTTCTTCAGAAATAGTTCATCTAAAGTTTGTTCCAAGTGTGGGGCTCATTATTCACACATATTACCTTTACCATGATTATTCAATTTAACGCTCATACTCTATATACATAGTATTTGATCTCGAGACTTTAAGGAATAATAATAATTCCTTAACCATTAAAGACGTTTAGTTCGTACATTTTTACCATGATTATTAACTGTGAATAATAATAATGAATGTATAAAAAAAATTAATTTAATAGTTGTCACTTAAGTAGTAAAATAAAATATTATAGAATAATTAAATGATTCATGTTTAAGTAATTATCTTAAAAAGTGTGTGCATTGTAATAGTTTAAAAAATTCTAAACAAATATTATCTTAAAATCATCTTAAAATATTAAAATAAGTATTGAGTTCGAGTTTTAGGGAAGCCATCAAATAAGAAAATTATCTCAAAAGTAAATGGGGATTTTAGGTACAAACTCTAGCCTTGACCCTTAAGCTTATTTGCAAATCATTCCTTCATAATTTCTGCTGCTTGACCTATTTATTTAGGGACGCGCCGTGGCCAACAACCAAAGGTAGCTGCCTGCTTTTATTGCATCGTCTAACCAGCAAATTCGCGTCTCAATTAAACTTTCTTTTTTTTTCGCAAAATTTAAAACTAATTAATGTTAAACGAAAGAGTTACTATCAGAGAGACAGATACATGTATTACGAAGCGGATTTCTATAATTTTAAGGAGATATTAATTTATAAAATTTTAAGAAGTAAAAATAAATTTTTAATAAAAAATTCAAAATATATAAGAATTTTAAATTGTTACGGTCCATATCCGATTCGTTCCTTGAGTCCATCGTTAGTTACAATTCAATATACTTCGCTGTTGAAACGGAAGAAAACAAAATATATTTTGCCTGCATAATAATGTAATATATATATATATGTATAGTACAATCAAGCTACACAATGTGCTCCCAGAAATATTACAATCAAGAGAAAAGGCAACACGGTTGTTAGTTCTAACAGAGACAGAGACATATACCAGTAGGCGAAAGCAATTATTTCAAGCTATAAAGATGCCATTTCAATATGATATTCACACAATATTACAA